TGCCTTAAAATTTCAGCCTCCTAGACTCCGAGGTTCCCGAGATATTAACTTACCCGTAAAAAACTTTCACAGGGCCGTGCGCGTTACCCGCGGGTACGGGGGAACCTGAATCTAAATTTGCGGGGTCACATGTGGGTGAGGAACGTCACCCTAAATTTTCAGCTTCCTAGCTTTTGTGGTTCCCGAGTTGAAAGTTGTGGACAAGTTGCTGCGGACACACACAAGACAACCCGTAACAATATGCGTTTTGTACTGCTGTTACACAGCACAAAACGCATAAAAAGAGATTCGTATTGACGATCAGTACTAACGTAGCGGCATTTCTTCTAAGGTATTTTTTATCTGTTCCTTGTCGAAACAAAATGGTAATGCACAACGAATGTCTCAAAATGGCTAAAGCGTAGAAATCAGCAACCTTTAAGAAAGAGAAGCAAATATCAGGTTCATCAGCAGGCTGGTCATAATGCGATGCAGCACCGGTCAAAGCATCTTTTTCCCCACACATGCAAAACGGCAGTACTAGATATTCCAAGAATGTTTTACCTGATAATAGCCTGTATGATAACCGGACATGTACCAAGACATCAGCATACTAGATAATGCTTCTTCTTCGTCCGGGCGAACCAAACCAGCAAATGCTATTGGTGGAGGCGGTGCGACAGGTGGGATCTGAAAGTCGCTACTTTTTTACCAGCACTCTGATTTCGATTATGTATTCTTGGCTCGGATTCACTTATGCCTGTGTGCTGTTGCTTAGTCTAAGGCCCGTTCGTCACTTCCTGTTAACGAACTCTAACAGCCAATTTCTAATGTATCAAACCGTATTATCCTGGATTTCTGATTCTACCGATTTCTAGGTACAACAATTTAACTGTCAAAAACGCCAGGGTCTGTATGCATATCTACGTTTCATTAAGCAATAATGGGCAAGAATAACTAGAAAGGTAGTAACACTGAAAAAGAGAACACCTGGCCAGAACCGCGCTTGCCTTTTAGTACTGCAGTTGCTAAAAGGCATGCGCGGAGAAACCGGCGAAAAATTTAGTCAGTAAAATGCAAACGTTGGAACCGGCAAAATTCGTTCGGAAAGGGCGATTTCCATAAAACAAAACAAGTAAAAACAATAAAGCGTAAAACTCGAATGAAAAATTTAAATTTTAGTTCTCCAACAACAAGTTTGGAAAGTCATTCTTATTGGAAAAAGACACACACGGATGTAGCATTGTCACCTGATTTTGTCAAAGCACTATCTTTTTTTTTGGAAATTTAACAATACTAATTTTATCATGGAAAATGGTAAAATCAGTCAAACAGAGATTTAAAAAACTTCGGAAGGGGCAATCTCGAGAAAATTTAAGAATTCAAAATTCTTTATTCCAGTCGCTGCCATAAAAAGACCCATTAACGGCGCCCAGCGGAAAAATTCTATAAGTGGCCATGAACAATTTTGTACGAAGAGGAGCACAGCTTACCAAACAATCGTCATGCTGGTCATTTGGTAGAATTGGCCTATTACCATGATGTTTTTTGATTTGTGTGTCAGCTGTTTTTGAATCTTTTTTTTTTCGTGATGATTCTGCTGGCGATACATTTTCATCCGACTGCCCACTGACCTCGCTGCCGGCAAGCCTGCACATTAAACTACTGCGAATGACACGCAACAAAAAGAACAGCAAAGAAAACGAAAAACACCAAAAAGCCTAATGTTGACAGATGAGTAATGGGGAAGGAAAAAGAGGCAATAACATCTTAAATCATTACGATGTCACAAGTAATTTTACACAGCATCTTATACATTCAGAAACTAAAAATCTGGCGCTGAATTGAGGAGAAGCGCAT